CCAAGATAGATGGACTGCTAAAGACGCCGCCAGAGCCCGATTTGCTCGTGTCCGTCCCGAAAAGCGTTCGGATTGACGAACTCGATCCTTTCTCTATCGAAGCCCAGGATCAAATGACACTACGTGCTACAGGGGCAGCGGACGAGGGGGAAGGGCCTTTGAGCTCTAAGGCAGCAGAGACCTCACTTCCGCGGTTCACGGCATTGACATTGTATATTGAATTCGTCACCGACAACATAAGAGACGGGCTACAGTTTGTAGGGGTCGAAAGCGGTGACAGACGCTATCCCCATGCCTACACAACGAATTCGCTTGGATATGGAGTCGGTTGCCCGCTTTTCCCGTGTGTGGACGATCCTGCTTCACGTTGTACATGGGAAATTTCGATCAAATGTCCATGCACGCTGGGCGATATGTTCGATCGCAAGCTGCGGGACCAAGCAAATTTGGGCATTTCTGGCCGGTCAAATGCTCCTGGACCATATATTGCCTCGGACGATGAGGGATTGGATGTAGCGGTCGTTTGTTCCGGCGATCTTACGGACGAGATTATCGACCCGAAGGATTCCAGCAAGAAAACAGTTTCCTTTGCTTGTTACTCTCCCCTCTCGGCACAGCAGGTTGGGTTCGCCATCGGCCCATTTGAGTACGTTAACCTAGCCGATTTTCGCGAAAGCGATCAGGATGAACAGCTTGGTCAAAATGCGATTCCTTTGCATGCGTTCTGTCTCCCCGGTAGGGCGGACGAAGTTCGCAATACATGTTTCCCTATGGCGAAGGCTATAGACTTCTTCTCACTGTCATACGGCTCTTACCCGTTTTCCAGCTACAAGGTCTGCTTCGTAGATGACTTGCCCGAAGGCACACTGCCAACGGCCTGTCTGTCCATCTGCAGCAGCCACCTGTTGTTTCCTGAAGAAGTCATTGACCCAATGTATGATTCGACTCGTACTTTGGTTCATGCTCTCGCATCCCAGTGGATAGGTGTCAATATCGTCCCAAAAGAGCCTGCTGATACCTGGGTCACAGTAGGCGTTTCTTGGTATATCACGGATACTTTCATGCGAAAGCTTTGTGGCAACAATGAATATCGCTTTCGCCTGAAACAGATGTCTGATAAAGTCTGCGATCTCGATTATGAGCGACCATCAATCCATGACATGGGGAACATCCTGCACATAGATTCTTCTGAGATCGACTTCATTGCGCTTAAAGCTCCCCTCGTTTTATTCATTCTCGACCGGCGGCTCACAAAGGCTAGCGGAAAAGCAACAATGTCTCGGATCATATCTCGACTATTCTTGAACTCCAGAATGGGCGACATACCAAATGGAGCCATCACTAGTTCACTTTTCCAGAAGACTTGTGAACGACTTGGTCATGCAAAGCTGGATGCATTCTTTCAGCAGTGGGTATACGGTGCTGGGTGTCCCCGCTTCCAGGCTACGCAACGATTCAACAAGAAGAAACTTGTTGTCGAAATGATGATAAGACAAGTCCAAGCAGACCCCTCAAGTACACGTGATCTGGACAAAAATGCGTTTATGCGCGACGTGAAGGAAGAGATACGCAATGTCTACGCCGGAGTTGTCCAACCCGTGTTTACCGGTTCCATGACTATCAGAATCCACGAAGCTGATGGTACGCCTTACGAACACATTGTTGAGATCAAAGAAGGAGTCACCAAGTTTGACATTCCCTATAACACGAAGTACAAGCGGCTGAAGAGGAACAAGAGGCAGAAGGAGCGTGCTGCTGCAGCATCGGGTGGAGACCCTAGCGCTGAAGTACAGGAGGACGTCCTGCTCTATTGTCTGGGCGACGTATTACAGAGCGAAGAAGAAATCCAAGAATGGAGGCTTGCCGATTGGAGCAAAGAGGACGAAGAGAGAATGGGACAGGAGTCTTATGAGTGGATTCGCATGGATGCAGACTTTGAATGGGTCTGCAAGTTATCACTGGCAATGCCAGGATACATGTATCTCTCACAACTCCAGCAGGATCGAGACGTCATTGCGCAATTGGAGGTCAGTTCATCCCATCCTTATCACACATACACATGCTGACACTTTCACTAGTCATTGCAATACATGGCGGTTCAGCGCGAGCACCCGCTGATCTCGTCGATCTTTGTACGAACTCTTATGGACCGAAGGTACTTTTACGGCATCCGTGTGGCTGCGGCTCAAGCCCTAGTCAAGCATGCCAAAGAAGAGATCAACTGGCTTGGGCTGTTCCACCTTGAGAGAGCTTTCCAAGAGCTTTTCTGTCTCCCGGGGTCTCCAATGACTCGCTCGAACGACTTCGCCGATAGAGCTGCATATGTACTTCAACTAGTCATCCCAGAAGCTATATCCAAAGTACGCGACAACAATGGAAAGACGCCAATGAGGGTGAAGCGCTTCTTATATGACAAGTTGAAGTTCAATGATAACTCCAATAACGAGGTGAGCCTCCTACTCGTAGCCATCCATATTGTATATGCTCATGGTGTTGCAGTATTCGGACAACTTCTATGTCGCGACATTGATGGAATCGCTTTGCCACGCGATGCTAGGAAAAGTCGAGTCTCGGATGGACGACATGGATGACTTCGATATGGATCGTGTGCTTGAGACCCAGGCAGAGGATCAACTAGAGAAAGACGCTATTGCAGAGATCGATAGGTACAGAAGAATGGACGAATGGTCCAGTTCTTTCCAGAACATCTATTCTCGTGCCGCATTACGCTGTCAGATGCAACTTATGAAAGCCAACATATCCAGTCTCGATATGATGCAGTTCTTGCCTTACACACGAGCTGGCACTTATGACCTTCTGCGCCTCGACGCATTTGAATGTCTTGTCGAACTCGATCTGTTCCGGAGTCCTGAACTTCTGCGGTGGTTCATATTCACCATGTCAAGCGATTCTTCCGCTTTGATCAGGCGACGACTCCATGGCTTATTCGGCAAAGCCCTGGCGCCTGTCGCTTTCGGCCGCGATGTGAACCAAGAACAACCCGCCAATGCCGACAACCTAATTATCGAGCAAGAATCCTCAACTGAGATCCGCCAAGCGGATCTTGCACGGAGACAGACCGTTACCGGAGCCTTGGGGGCCCTGAAAAACGAAGTATCAGGCGACCAAGTTCTGAAAGAATCTCTCTGGGCTGCATGCAATTCTCCATACATCGGGGTACTGGAGCTCTCCGAGTTTGCTGATCTCTGTCGAGTTTTATATGACCCTGTCACGACCCGTATGGTTACCCTGAAGTATCCTCGTTACTGGGCCGTGAAGCATCTTGGAAGAGTGAGTCCTACCAGCGCACCAGTGCACACTGCGTACAGCGGCCTAGAAATCGTACTAATACCACACAGGGTCGATTACATTTCTTCCGATCGAGCGAAATCCGGACGACGCTTGCTCCATCGAAAGATTCTACAGCCGCCAAGCGCAAGCGCGAAGACCAGGCGATGGCACCGCCTCCCCCTCGCATTACATTCAAGAGCTCTAAGCTGGGTTCCAGTGCAACCCCCTTCAGTCCGAAACCGAGTCCGCAACCGACGCCAAAGCTGCACATTCCCAATCTACCCTCCCCTGCGCCCCAGGCGCCGCCACCGAAGACAACAACTGCTCCCTCAACACCATCTACGCCCAGTGGTGGGGGTTTCAAACTGAAACTGAAGTTCGGCCAGAAGCCGAAATAGTCTTTCCCAGAACAAAGTCGATACCATTATTTGCCTAATTCGTTATATCATTGGGACTTCGGAAGGGGTCAGGTCAGGAGACGCATGGCGCGGGATTGCATGGATCATTGTTATCCTTTTTGACATATTCTATATTCTAGAAGAACCATCACTCTATTCTGGGTTATTCTTAGGCGACAGATAGGTCAGCCGCCTATCTGTTGGATTGGGCTTCCGGCTTTGCAAAAATGATGATCAGACTGGCTGTCAAGGATCATTTCTCCCAGCAAATTCCACCCCCACGAGATTCCACCCTCGAGGCCTTCCAAACCTCCGTCCGTAATGGAATCCTCGTAGCCAGAGAGTCAAGTACATGAAATGCCCTCGATCATGCCATGCGAGCAAACCAACCCGTGAACTCCTTATTGCATTTCAAAACAATCCCACAATGAAGGTATAAAAAGACATTTCAATTTCAGATTCCCACCGCCTCTGACCTCTCTCATTTGTCGCTTATACGCTCCAGAGCCTAAGGAACGCGTGTAAATTAGCCAATGCGACCACTGGGTGACAAGAAGAAGGAACAAGGATAGAAAGACCCACCTCAAGCATAACAACGGAGTTGCCGCGGATGACCTATGAACATTCCTATATCAGCTTTTCTGGAGTCCCGATCGTAGTCGTCAAGCCATGATGTCCGAAGTAACATACCACCATGCCGATAGCGACCTTCTCGCCACCCTGCTTCTCTTCGAAAGCCTCATCGAGCACAATGTTCATGAATACCTGCCATGCCGCCCGCCGTTAGTGACATCCCTCTCAAAATATGACGAGAGGCATTATGGACTGAGAGCTCCAGGGGCTCCTTCATCCGACGGGTAATCAGTCAAGGGAATAAAACGCACATCGTAGCCGCGCAGGATACCAATGACTTTGCGGTTGCCGTTCAGTTGGCAGAATACCCGCTTCTCCATGTACTAGAAATACCTTGTCAGCCAATCTCGATCCAGGAACGGATTGGGGCTCGGGGTTTTAAAAGGTCATACCTTCTTCAATTCCGGCTGAGCTTGAGGCATTTTGGGCTGGTTTGATCTGGTGGATCGTTCTATTATGTCCCGCTGTCGCGTTGCGGACTTTTGACGTACAGCAGCGGGCGGCGGAGGAGGAGGGATAAGCTGGACCGGATAAAGGTTGTTCCTTGGGGAAGCTTCCAACGAAAGAAACCCGGGGGCGGCGGAGATGGAAACAGTGACGCCAGTGCTTGTCAGGGGCCGCTACTTTTATTATTTTTGGAAGAGGGAGAGGACTTATACGGTCGGGATCTTGTTTAAAATGAGCTCAAAGTTTACTAATCGCCGAAAACCTCGCAAAATCGGAGGAGATGACGAAGATAGCGATGGCGGGGAGCAAGGTTCGTTGTTGAAGCATGCAAATACTGCTTTACATTAGCAATGACAGTGAGATCTGACTACTTTTAGACTCCGGTCCCGTTGTCAAGCGACCATTGAATTTCAAAACGAAACAGAAGTCGAAGTTGCGTCTCTCTTTCGGCCCCGGCGAGACGTCCATGACGGACAACAGCGGCGATGGCGAGAATGAAAGTGAGGTAGTAATGCCGAAGAGACATGGCTTAGGCCGACGGGTTATGGAGAAGAGCGCCTTTCAGAAGTCATTGACGCCGTCTGGAGCTGGCAATCCTCCTTCCTTGAGGGTTGGCCCCGAGCAAGATCGGCCGAGCTATAGTCAGGACTATCTAAAGGAGCTGCGCGAGTCGACCCCTTCGACCCCGAAGGCGCCAAGCACCCAGGAAGAGAAGAAGGCGGAGAAGACGATCGATGTGGCTGCGAAGTTTGGAGAAGTGATGAAGGTATCAGCGCCAGCGGCCATCCCCAGTGAAGCGGAGATCAGGGAGAAGAAAGCCCGGAGAGCACGTCTCGCAAAGGAGCATGGAAGTCTTTCGACCACGGAAAAGGATTTTATTTCTCTTGACGTTGGTGGCGAAGGTGATGATGATGAATGGGATCTACAGGGTCGACGGGAGCAAGCTGAGGATACCAGATTGGTCCGTGACGACGAAGATTTCGCTGAAGGATTTGACGAGTTTGTGGAAGATGGTCGCATCTCCCTTGGAAGGAAAGCAGAGCGCGAACAGCAGCGACGGCAACGCGAGGAGATGCGAGAACTTATCGATGACGCCGAGGCACTCTCAGAAGAAGACGATTCGGATGTGGAAGAAAAGGCAGCTTACGAAGCTAAACAAAAACAAGCTGCGATGGGCAACAGTCATCGGGACAATATTGATCGGCCAAAAACACCACCTAAAGTTACCTCGCTTCCGCGTCTCGCTCACTCCCTTGAGCGACTGCGTATGAATCTCGCCGTCCTTGAAAAGTCCAAAGCCCAAATGGTCGATCGCATGGAAGAATTGCGGAAGGAGAAGGCCGACATAGCTGTCCGCGAGGTAGAGATTCAGGTCCTGATCAAAGAGGCTGGCGATACCTATGAAAAGCTCAAGCAGGAAGCTGAAGCATCGTCGGGTGTCGACGGCAATCAATCAGCAGCTGATGACTTTGCGAATTCCCGCGGCTTGGAGGGTTTGGGCGCATCAATGGCACCTTCGACGGCAAGTGACCCGGAACAGGAACCCTGAAGGCTCACGGTGACTACCTCATTTGTTTCTTCGTGTCTGGATCTCGTCCATTGTGCCTTCCTTGACAGACCGACAAGGCCCCAGCTGCAACTCCTCTGTTATCAAGCCTTTGCGCATCATCTCACTGTCCCATCACATCATGACCGCATGTTTATCTTTCTGTGATACCCACCCGCATCAGAACTACTCTTTGCCTTGTTGACCCGGTCGAACATGGCTCCGTCACTCTTTATCTCTTGGTTTCACCAACCGTTGCGTAAGATCGAGTGTGTTGAAGAAGAAGAATCAACTGCCCCGTAGGCCACCCTATTTGCATCTCGGCTGTGCTTCGACTGATTAAGCAAAACTTAGATGTCAGCGAAGTGTGATACCGTTCATTGAATCGCCTATCGACGAGAAAGATGGAGAGCCTCCTCACCTCTATCACCATTCTGATGCAACTCCAATTGAACTGTTCTTTGACCTCTTCTTCGTTGCCAACCTCTCAACCTTCACAGCCACGCATGAGATCAATAATGTAGATGGTTAGATTTAAGATTCCCCTCTACCAGCTCGTGTTGACCATTCCTGGCAGCGTTGGGGGCCTATGTTGGCTTTCTTGGGGTTGTCTGGTTCACCTGGCTCCAAGTGACCTTGTTCGATATTCGATTCGCTCGCGACTCGATCTTCGAGCGAATCTGCAAAGCGATTCAATTGGCCGTAATGGTGGAATTTGCGTCGGCAGGGACTCGATTTACCACTCAGGTGCAAGACGAGAATATCTGGGCATTCCAATCATTGAGCCTGATACTTGGTGTCAGTCGGCTTCTGCTTTCTATACAATACACTGTCGACGCCGTTTTCCTGAGCAAGCGTATGAGGTCTGCGTCTAAAAGGGTCTATTTTATCGCCGCAACCTTGTTTATGACGGGATTCATATACTTCTGGGTAAGCCCGCAACATCTAAATCATGCATCCGCGTCAGGATCGTTGGGAAACTGACCTGTCACTAGATGTACTTTGCCTTCCGCAGCCAAGGTGTGGGCGGCACATACGCCTGGATTGTGTGGTTCGTTCTGTTTGCCATAGAGATGTGGGTAGTCATGTGGACGTCTTCCGTGAAAGCAGGGATCGGTCTTCAGGACACTCATCTGAATGTAAGAATGGGGCTACTGACCCTGATAATTATTGGGGAGGGCGTCATCGCTATCACAAGGATTGTTAACAAGACAGTCGGGCCGGGAGGATGGACCAAGTGGTCGTTTGCTCATATCCTCGGCGTTACGACTAGTGTGGTATGGATCCAGCCATGGTCTTCCCCGTCGAGTCCGAGACATACTAACTACTTGGGAATACTTAGTATTTTCTGTGGCAAGCGTACTTCGATCTCTCCCCACGGCGTACCATGGGGAAGTTTTCTCAGCAGATCTGGGCCCAGCTCCACTTCCCGTTCCATGTCGTTCTCATTCTTCTGCTCGAAGGCTCTCAGATCCTTGCCTTGACCCTGGACATCACTCTGAAGCTCAAGTACCTAACTGAGACGATCTTATGGACCTGCGAAGAGCCAAGACCCATGGTAGAAGAGGCCATTCATCTGCTGCGGACTACCATTGCCGATATGGAGATCAACTATAGCCGGGGCGCGATCAATGAACAAATATCAATTTCCCGACTGTTGGATGATCTGCCCTATCAGCCACTTTGCCCATCGGATGGGCCAGATGAATTCTCTGCCACTAGTCACCTACTCAGTAACCTGGTCGGAAATGTCACAGCGGCTTTGTTCTCCAGCATGGGTATCATGCCCTCCAAGAATGCAGACATTGGATCGATGGGCAGTGATCGGTTACTGCGGATGTACATGGAGCTCCTTAGCTTTGTCTATGTCTATTACTTTGCGGTTGCAAGTCTCGCCATGTTCTTCTTTGCTGCATTCGTCTTGTTGACGCGTCGCCATGCCCGCGGCATCTGTGCCGCTATCAGTGTGGCAGTGCGAGTCTGTTTTGGGATATTCTTAGCCGGTCTGATCAGCTTCTCCCGGCACTTTCCGCTCGTTTACTCATTCATGACATCTCCGGCTATTCTGTATGCCTTTACTCTTATTCTTTTGACTGGTAAGTTGAGATCGTCCGTCTTGTCGTGCAGTCGTTTAACTAAGCCGTGTTCAGTGCTCTTGGTTGATCGATTTCTGGACCGTCATGGTGCGCGCATCAAGTCCAAAATGGGATGGAAGCAGTCAATCGAAGCCCTTTGGTAGCCCCTTCAGACGAGGGAGCTGCAGGACGGCTTTTGTGTCAATCATTTCTACATCATTTCTAAGGATGACTGTGACAAATACAGTTCATCCCCGGCTGTCGCCACTTGTGTTTGCAAAAATCCATTCCTATTCCTTTCTATTGTGGGTCATCGTGGGCAAGGGCCACGGGTAGAGCACAATATGTGCAGTACTGTAGTAGAACCTGTGTCTCAGGCCGTAGTGATTGCGTTCATCTGGTAGATGACTCCCAACCCGTAGTAAATCGTCTCCTATGATCAAAGAACAAGACGACACGCCACTGTCGCAATGGTCGCGACGGCTAGGATGGACGGTCTGTTGGCAAACTGGGTACTCAGCCACGGGAACAGACATGAGAGATCAAAACAGTCTCGTTTGAATTTCCCTGCCCCCCCACTCATTGCTCAGCTTTGTAATTTCTCATGTCTCGTAGAAAGATAAATGCGAACTAAAAGAAAAGGAAAGAAAGAAGATCCGAAAGAGCACGCCATCAATCCGCTTTCCCCTCTTCCCGGGAATTTTTGCAAAAGCAAGCCGAGTAGGTAACAGTCCGATGGGATGGAAAAGGTACCCCCCACGGCGTCCCCCGGATAAGTAATGGGGAGATAAAAATTAGACACAGAACCTGCAGGGGGGGGTTAGGAGGAAAGCAGCAAGGATCCCCGGACTTTGGGGTTGGAAAGGAAAAGTACTGTACATTAATTACTGTTTAACTCCCGGTCATCTCCGTTGAGGCCCTCTCTGTGTTCTGTTTTTTTCTTTTGTTATTTTTTTTCCATTACATAAAGACCAAATGAACGAGCAGTGAGTCTGGTAGGTAGGCAGTTGTGGACTGGTATAACCTAGGTACGCACAATCAAGAAGTGACCAATCGAATGCCTTCCTCCGGGCATAACTACCTATAGGTTCTATGTACAGTACTATGTACTACTGGAGACTACGCACGGATACCCTGGCCGTGTCACCATTGGTACCCAAACCCGAAAAATTGTTCGGGGGGTGGGGGAGGATAGAAATTGACAACCGAAATGTAAGGACAAACCGAGAGCGACTATGGAGAAATGACCTTGAAGAAAACGAATCGAGAAGAGAAAACCCCCTTTCCCGGGCCCCGGTGGCGTGGCTCGTTGGTATGCCCGTGGGATATGGAACCTTCCTCTCAAGGTCATCATCTATAGCACGGGGCTCCTTGACTTGCTTCCGAGGGTGGTCCCGGTCTGGGGTCTGGGGTTGGCTGATAAATAGATAGATAGATAGATAAAACGTGATCACTAGCTTTATCATGGGTCGACCCCCGGAACAGGCATGGGGGGCTGTGTAGCATGGCCAGGATCAATGATCCTTGAAGCGGAGAAGGATGTGTGAGAAGCTATAATTGGAAGTAAGCATATTGAGCGAGTATTGGTGGGGGCAAGGATTTGGGGATGAATGAAGGAAAGAACATAACGCCTACCGACAGCCGCCGTGCCGTGGCCCCGTTAGCAGCAGCACGCGCGGTCACTAAGCTAATGGCAAAGGTAAATGACGGCGGGTATGTAGAGCGGGAGGGAAGGAAGGAAGGTATACTGAATAGGGCCACCTACAGGTACGCAGGCAGGCAAGCAGGCAAGTCAAATCAAGCCACAGATAGACAGGCATCCAGACCGTTCCTTCGCGCTGTGAACGAAAGACACTGAGAGAGAAGTGATAGACCGAGCGATAGGTCAACAACATCTCATCTGGACTGGACTTCCTTGGGGGAGGGGGCACGGTCTAGTCTTTCGTGCGTGATCTGTCTGTCTGTCAACCCGCCGGGTCGCAAGCTCCGACTGTGTGTATCACCGCTAAAATGTTGCTGATTGGACCGGGAAAAGGGACGTTTGAGGGTGGGTTGGATGGAGGGATAGAGGATATATCCTGGTTGTTTTTGGTTCGGATCGCGGGAGTTCATACGCGAAAGAAGAATGAATCCCGTTCTTCCACAGAGCTCTGGTTTTTTAGTATCTCAGGTTTAGAATTCTCTTTCCCGCCCCGTCCCATGTTACTAGCCATGGGTTGACGATCAAGATCGGGATTGACCTGCAGATGCAGGAACGTTTCGTCGTACGTTGTGGAGTGGAGGGAGGCCTGGGGGAGCAAGTCCAGTGGACAAGCGACCAGAAAATAGTAGAAGAAGCAAAAAGAATGGGGCGTTAAAGATCTAGTCACGACACAAAGAGAAGAAGACTAGGTATGCTGGTAGATCTACCGGGAATTGTGGTGAATTCTCCGATCAAATGTCGCGGTGGATGAAGTAAGGGAAGCGGACAAAGCCCTATATGTAAGTATCCGAACTGGTTGCCAGCACAGCCAAACCAACCACGCCCAATCACAGATGGATTCCAGCTTAATGACAGTGGAGTCTCATCCGGGGTTCCAGAAAGAAAATTGCCCTTGACAGTTGGAAAATTCTGATTCAGATCTGACCAATCGACTATCGATCCTTGCCAGTCCTGTTCTTCGTCGCCGAACGCCACGAGATGAGTTTCTATTCGGCCTACGATTCTCCTTCCAGAGGATCTCCACGGTTGAGCCTTCCGGGTGAGAAGCTGATATGATGAAGAGCTGGGATGAGAGCTTGGTTGTCGAGGTTTTAGGCCCTTTCGGTCGGATTTCACGCCTTTTCGGCAAGCCATTCAAGGGGACATGCTTCAGTCCTCAATAACTAGGCTGGGGAGGCGGAGAGAGGGAAGAAAAGAAGAATGTCGTTCTGTACAGGACAAGGAAGGTGGCTCCGAAAGTGTGGAGGGGCCTCAATTTCCATATCGCAGCATCACGACTGTCAGGGATATGGAATTGGAGAAGGACTTAAGGGGCACATCGCTGCTGCTCTTCCTCAATGAGCTTAAAGACTGCCCTGGAGATTTCTCGAGAGCTACTATCTTTTTTTTCAAAGTGCCAACGTTCGCGTCTTGAATTAGAGACAGTGTCTTAAGCTGAACGCATTGTATATCGCGACGACCCCATTGCATCGGCTGCGCTGGAGCCATAACACTTGCCACAAAGAGCGTTGACAGTGACTGAGACATTGTTCGCTGTTGGACCAAGTGGCGGAAAGTGACCAAGTCGTGGATACCGGGCTGTTCCTTGTCCCTTCCATTATCATTCACACTCACTGCCATCTTTCCTCATGCAATTTTGTTTCTTTCAACCGAAACACAGCAGGGGCTAGCCTTTCGATTGGGACTCCTTGAGGGTAAAGGCATTGCAACCGAATCTCGCCTCCGAGTGCGACAGACCAATCGCCTGGTCTATGTTCTGAGTAAGTTGACCGCAACTCTTCAACAACAAGTGAAACCCTTCCATATGGAGTCCGATGTGCTGAGTGACTGCATCGCTGCCTGCAGGCGCCCTGACTCGCCCGACAACGCGCATGATACGACATCTATGTCCAGTTCTTGTTATTCCAGGGAAACATACAAGCAGTCAAAGACTGGAGCGGTGAACTGAGCGAGGAAGTGGAGTGTGGCATCTTAAAAAACGCCGCCTATCTTTCCTCGAGAAGGTCGATAGCTAGGAAGCAAGTCACCTGGCAAGCATCTTCATTTATTGTCAAGCTCTGACAGATTTTGCTGAAAGTAGGTTGAATACAATCCTGTGTTCTTTCAGGTACTCGGCGAGTTGAGTCTGATACTGTTGCCTGGTCAGCCCTGTATTCGAAGCCGCAGCGTCCAATGAAGGTTGGCCAGCGTTGTTCGGAAAACATCGAAATGACAAACACCTATATGATGATCTCAGACTCCCTCAAAGAGAGAGAGATCTCCTACTGGTCGATATACCCTTCTGCACTCGATTCGGCAAAGCGTGAAGAGCCACCTTTTCACGGTCTTCCTCTTCCGACCATAGCGGAATCCTGTTGCTCGTACATGCCTGCCAAACGGAGTCCCCTGCGAACGGACTGCGATAAGTGTGAACAGCTTGGGGTTCCCTCAGAGCCGCTGCAGAGGGTGACTGTAGCTTACTCTCCGGATATATGCCTGGACGATGCTTCTAGCGCCGCTAGTCCTCAGAGTATCAAACTCAACACGAGCAGCGTGGCCAACGAGCCGTTCTTAATCCCACGCAGAGCTTTGGGCTCAAAAAAGGCCCTAATTACGTTTGACGTTAGGGACAGTGAGTGCCTGCCAGCCGACCACCTCATTAGGGTCGCGCATCAAGAACCTGGAATAGCCACCAGCAACAACGATGCTGAAGTCCCACTGCCGAAAGTCGAATTGCCATGGGAGTATAGCCCTGTTATGGCATGCAGTAACAGCTTCAGCAATGCAGAGGAGACGATAGATACCGCCAGTGCCCTCACCTGGTCCATACCCGAAGTCCATCAAGTTTCATGTGTAACGCACATCAGGGATATCAGCCACGGAGAACTGGTATATTCTTTACCCTGTGTGTCCGGCGCAACTGCCCACTCATGCGATGATGACCTTGGCGGTACCTTCGACCAGCTGATCTCAATGCCGGATAACTCTCCGGATTGCAGTCTTCAGTCCAGCCAGATCGGGTGGTCGGACACTTCAAGTCCATTAGCTGGAGTCTGTCCTAGCCAAACATGCTGTCCTGACTTGCTTCCGATTCCGGAGAGACAAATGACAAGTCAGGCACCAACCTACTATCAGCCTCCTCCGACTTACTCTTATCAACACCGGGACTCGTCCACCTTTGCTCCTTCACATCATCTGCTCCCCGCTCCATTCCAGCCACAGTTGTCCCCCACCGATGGACATGTATCGGTTGGGATAGGAGGCGCACTCAGAGGATCCACGACGCGCGCATCAGATGTCAAGAACAAGCTCCTGATCCAGTATAAGCAGCAAGGCTTTTCGTACAAGGCCATCAAGGAGGTTTGCAACTTCGCCGAGGCCGAATCCACCCTTCGCGGCAGATATCGGACTTTGACCAAGCCCAAGCACTCTCGAGTGAGAAAGCCGCAATGGCAAGACAGAGATGTAAAGTTCATTTTTCCCTTTTGCTTTGTTGCTCGTGCGTTTCAACCGTGAGAAGAATCCCATATATTGACCGTGACTTTCTTTCCTCCGTCCCTGCTGCAGATTCAACTTCTTTGTGAAGCGGTGACCCAGTTGGAGCATGGCCGACAGGCGTCGCAGTGCCCGTACCTCTTCGATCATCAGTCGCGAAATCTCACCCTCGTCCAGCCGCCAAAGGTGTCCTGGAAACAGGTTGCGCTCTATATATATGAGAACGGAGGCTCATACCTCTTTGGGAATGCGACGTGCAAGAAGAAATGGTGTGAGGTGCATAATGCGAAGTGCTGGAGGTTCGAGTCCCGGTTGAATGAGAAATAAGAAAGAAGGTTGTCGCCCGGCTGACTGACCGACTTGATTGCTTGCCATTGCCGGTTCACTCTTTCCGGCAGGAACGGCAGTAGATTCTTTCCTGTCTTTCAGTCTGTTTTTTCGCCTTACTCTGAATAGCAGAATCGAGATAGAAGAGGAGGAGTCTTGAGTGTCGAACTACGATGTAGAAATCGCTTGCGTGGGCGGTAGGGGACGTCTATACAATCAATCTAGCTGTCAATCTACTCGTATATACTACGGTTCCCTTTCCGAAAACAAACAAGTGGTATTATATGTCTAATCACATAGACGCAGGTATTAAACAAAGTTTACTCCGTAGATATGTGCAGATTCAGTGATGCTTATGTGACTCGTCTAAGCAAGCTAGAATAATGCTTCGCAGTGAGACGTCTTATAGCTGCGAAACCTCCGGCAGATTCAACTGTGGAAAGCCAATCGTCGAAAGCACATTGCTCAACGACTGCGGATTACGGCGCAACTCGGTCCATTCGGCCTCGGCCTTGACCATGAGGGTTCCGGCCAGAATGGTGCCGTTCAGAGCGACCACTCCAGCCTCGGCGACATCCGCACTGGCGCCAGGTTCAACTGGGACGTGTGCGCTTTCCCTTCTCCTGGGGCAGATGATCATCGAGGACTCGGTCATGGCGAGATTGTAGCTGACGACGGCGGGGCCGGTCGTCTCTTGGGCGCGGCGATTGCAGTTGCTGCTGTTTGTGGCGGCGGCGACGGCTGCTACCGCAGCCCTGTACAGAGAAAGATACGTCGCGAAGAGGGTTTCACTCGAAGGGTTTGGCGGCAACGGGAGCGCGAAGTGGGCAAAGGGAACTCGATCCGACCGCCGATAGCCCCCAGACCCGCCGGGGGCTGCCGGCTGCGAGGTGGCGGCGACGATATCTATCAAAGGCCGCCAGTCGTCTGAGTGCTCCTGTTGTTGTTCCTGGTGGGCCATTGCTTCCACGGGAAGGAACTGCAGGTGCCTGTGCGGTTGACTCGCGCCACTCTCGTCGCCCGAGTTAAAGAAGGCGAACAGCTTCCTGCCGCGCGCGGAGGACGGTTCCTCTGCTTCGGCCCATGTTTTGACACAGGCATAGGCGGCTGCGAGGTCCTCCTTCTCCAGAAGATCCGTCTGGGCTTTCCAGGCTTTGGTGGCGAGGATGAAGTGGTTGGGAATCACGGGGAATTTGTTGAGGACCAGGAAATGGGTCGGGTTTTCGCGGGGGATCTGAGCTATGAGAAGCTCCGGTGACGGGTTCTCGAAGGGATCGAACTTCGGTCCGCTAGGGTTGGCGTTTTCGTCCTTCGGGGTACTCGTTGGTTTCTTTGCGAGAGCTGGGCAGTAACGAAGTTGATACTGGGGCAGGATTGGGTGAAGGTGTTAGCCAGGTTTGCGCGTAGCCCAGGAACTGATGGCACAAGGACATGATTTACCGGGATCCCCGAAACATGGAGTGTCGCGAGCTGGGTTGGAGAAAAGAGGAGATGGCCAGCATCTTTGGCGGTTGTGAATCGTCGACTGACCAGAGCCGGAAGACTCTCCGAAAGACCTAGTTGCATAATGTCGAATGTGTGATGTCGGATGCTGTGGTGCAGCTGCTGCATTCCTGGCAGAGTGCGGAGTTGGAGAATGGAAATGACGACTTCCTCCAGCGCGGCGGGATGAGGCGAGAATGCGGGGCAGGAACGGCTAGCCGAAAGAAGATGTTTTGGATGCAGGCACGGAAATTCAATTTGCCTCCAGTATACAATTATCACCTACAATCATGATGCATTGATATAGAAAAGACGGCAGTCTGTCTTTGGAGAGTATTTCCATCGACCATGTGGTTGCAAACCTAATTTACCTCCCAAGAATATCTAACAATCTTCAATCAACAAACGTCGACCACGTGCTCATGTCTCGATGTATGATGAAGGCACAGAAAAGACAAATCATGAATCATGAACGGCATTGCTTGAGTCGCATATGGAGAATGACCAGGATCTACCCATTTCTAGGCATGTTAAGCGCGTTGATGCAGTGTGGTTGTGTGGTGTGGTGAGCACTACTGGTAGCCACAATACATAAAAAATGCGGAGAGCACGACCTCGGGCGCTCTTGTACATGACAACTCAACCAAAGACAAGAGTATTACTTACATAGACACTCGAAGCCATCCCGAAGACAGTTCTCTAATACTATAGTTTTATTCTGGCGAAAGCAGCATATAACCCTGAAGCCCTAAGCATTCCAGTGTCCGGGTACATATGTAATGACGTCACTGACATCTCTTCTTTCGACACACCTAGTAAGGATCCCCATGCTTCACCAATCTGGCCTGACTCTGTCATCAACAACCCGGATGATGCTGTGAGATCTCACCCACCCCGGAGTCCAGACTACCTCGAATACTTCCAGAACATGGTCTGGAGCTGTTCTCGTAACCTATAGCCTCTAGTTAATCCTCAGCAACGGCCCCCATCAGCCACTTTAGCAGCCACGGCTCTTCGTGTTGCTATGCCCAAGAATCCAGAAACGGGATGCAGACAAGCCTCTAGCATGGCATAAAACCATGTACATGTACTGTATGTTGTATACAACCAGGGAATCATCACCTTATGATCTCCTGAAGGGCAAAATACCTACCCGATACTTCACATATGATGTACAGTACAGTACATACATACATACAACCATACATACAGTGTGCAATGCAGGTCCAATCCGGGGCGGCCGAACCAAGAATTTGGAATTGGCTCAGCCAGCCTCTTCCCTCTCCGTCGACTGCACTTTACCCTAACAAGTATGGCTCGTGCATCCTTGATCCAGGTTCCCTATCGGCGCGGCCGGGGCGTTCCCACTTGCCAGTCATTCAGTCATTAATCTTCCCATCCCAGAGCACGTTTACCGGGGGTTAAGCCTACGGTCTACCCCCCAGGGCGCCCGCCCTCTCCCGCGTCTGGTTGTTGGTGTAGTTAGGAGTAGTTATTTCCTTCTTTGGCCATGTGTCACCCAACCTAGACTCGAATTTTTAAACACTTGGAACTGTGGAGAGTCGGCCGGTGTCGCTGATCGCGATCTTGGTGATGGGTGGACCCCCACGAACTCCATCATGTTTTCATCACCACAGTTAGGTAAGCAAGATGGAAAAGATGATCCAGATGATCCAGATGATCCCCGAGGATCTACCTCGATCACCCAAAGAGTGCAGTAGTGAGTGGACAGACTTTACTCTTTGGTGTGCTCATGTCCAGGACTTGCAGGTATCTGCACCCACCAGCAGCAGCAGCAGCAGCAGTAGCCGCCAACCAGCCAAAGGTTGGCCAGGCATAAAATGAATGTATGGTTCGGCATCTGCCGTTGCATAGAGCAAAGCACTTCAGAAGTGCTTTGCAATCCCAAACTGGGCGGTTGTGGCAGGGGTGTGGTGCGTTCAGCCACGTCTTCAGCAACCGGGGTGACGTGGTGTTAACCAGTCACTCATTTGTTTGTGTGTGGATGAGGCTCTTTGTATTACTTTGAATGCTAATGTATCATTGCTCTGAGCCCCGCGCTTCGCTTTGAGAAACAATGCTTTGACCCACGAGTATAGCCTTCAATGGACACCCAAGTCGATCACGAGGTAAAGAGGGTCTGGACAGTTCTGATGCAGTGGGACAGGGTCTCGGCCGTAGTTGAGGTTTGCTCTCCTGTTGAGAGATTCCACTAGTCCCCCGTACGGGCTCATCATCTGATGCTTGGTACAGTACAATCATGATGGTTTAGTGCCGCTCACGACGACTCAAGTATGGTAAAGATGACGCGAAAGTCCAACCTTCTCACCCAAGCGGACCTTCATATGGGATCAAGCCTTTTACTTTGTCACCACCATGCACGATCAATCCCAAGCACAACAAGGAACTTGGCCCCATCCTTGTTGCAATCCAGACGATCATGCAGATTTGTTGATCCTTGTTCACCAATCTGTCCCCGTCATCCTACCACCGGGCAGAAAAGGGTGGTCCAAGGTAGGTAGTAATAGTCGGGATCCCGATCGTGGATTGTGATCAAGTGTAGGCACGGCAAGAGAGATAATGCTGATTGATTTGTTCTTCTGCTTCGCTTCCCTCAATCGCCCATTCGTCTGGATGGTCATTCTGCTGTGGCCCTCCTCGCAAACTTGATTGGGCGCCCCTCCTCTCCAGTCCAAAAGACCTCGTGGCATTGACAGCTGTGTGGCTTGAAACGGATGGAGGAGGGCCACCACCCAGCCAGTCGGTCGTGATTTCCAACTAGCATCAAAATCGGGCCAAAGTCTTTTGCACCAACAAAAAAAGGGGAAACTCGGCCCCGGGGAAGGAGGACCAAGCAAAATTCGATGCGATGGCTAATGTTTTTTTTCCCTTTTCGGCCGGTGAGTGCCATACGTGAAGTACTCCATCGTGTACCTGACAACGGTTCATACTTTATTCAACGAGCCGAGCAGTTCAAGGGTGGCACTTGTAAGTGACTTACAGTACTAGTCGTCCACGCGCTGGGTCCCATACTACTGATGTATTTGGGTGTACTGAGTAAAACCCATCAGTGCCCACAGGGCACAGATCTATTGTGGCAAACATGGACCAACCCACCCTGCGACTCTTCACCCCCAGACCCCAGACTTCTCTTGTCTCGCTCCTGATCGTCACCCCCAATGCTGGTACCTACTAGGTACTGTCCATGTAGTCCCCACCAGGATAAGAATCCTGATAACTTTTGTCCTTACCTCACGGAGTAGAGTTTTACTGGAAGATGATTCGCTTGTGTCCAGTCAACCCCTACTCTCCATGCTCGGTGAGTATATTGCTTCTTATTCCTTTTCTCTGATCGAGCAGAACGAGGAATGACGATTATGCATGATGTCATGAATCAATAGAAGATTGCGAGTGACATACACACCATAATCGAAAAGCTCCTATTGTCGCATCCATCACATGGTTGGCTGTTTACTAGCCTGCTACTCCGTACGTACCTAACCCAGTAGTCTTCAACCATTACCTTAGTATTGACATCCGGCCCTAGCGCCAACCACTGTTCGTGGGCGGCTACAAAAACAATCCGCAGTACGGACCTTCGGGACCGAGAGACGCCAGTCCCTGAATCTAGACTAGGCGATGACCGACACTACCCAAGCACAAAAAAGATCATCCCGCTAGTCTTCCCCCTTCGCGACCCGCGAAAGTTCACTGGCCTCAGGGAAATCACAGTCTTATCAGGGTCTTCGTCAAGGAGTATGATGGTGCAATTGAGATTGCCCTCGCTTCGAGGCTTCACCCGGTTGTCCATCTGTTATCGAGCCCTTACTAATGCGGTTGATTTATCTTGGCTGGGGCTCTCACGCCAAAACCAAGGACAAGCTAAAGTACCCGTGGACGACTACTACTGATTGATATCAGATTTTGGGGAACTCCTGTGAATCGTTCCCGCGAGGTTTCCTTTTTAGTTTTCTGACCTGGGGTTAGCGCGGTATGGTCTCGGGGATGCCGAAAAACAAAACCCAGAGAGCGAACTGACGTTCATCATAGGACAAAAGGTTCCAATAAGGAGAGGAGGAGGAGGAGGAGGAGGGGCCCGGACCGCAGATCCTTAGGCTTCATGCTCTGTCTGCCCTTTCCGGGTTATTATCACGATCACGAGTAGACTAACTGAACTACTATGGTCACTACATAAGAATTCTCTCTCAGGGACCCGGGAGTTCAGAACTGTTGAGTTGAGTGCTTTCCCAAGGTTCAACCCCAGAGTTCCCAGCAGTTGATGGAAAAGAAACCTGGAGGGGAAGACAGACAGACGGACAGACAGACAGGACGGTGTGGGGCGGGGGGAGGGTTTGGGGTGGTTCCACAGGGCAGGATTTCCTAGTGCAATACCTCCGGGTGACACCGCTGGCCTCATGGTGTAAAATACTGTTACTACATAGTACATACCACTAAAGACGAAAACACACTAGTCTAGAGAGGGTCCAGCCAATTGGTAGTGTGGCAGTGTGGCAGTGGCATTTTTCTTCTCTCTCGCTCTTCCTTTCTCTGAGAATCTCTCCCTGAGTCCCCTCGAGATTTCTCGACATCCACAATCGGAGTTCGCCAGACTCGTGGTCTGTACACTAACAACTCCGTCTTAGACGCAAAGGAGAAAATGGGTCCCCTGTCCCACCTCCTTACCCACCTTATCTCCAGCGGTCTAGCCCGCCACATGGCTTTTTTGTTGAGTATACTGCTCGACTCACTTACTATGTAGTCTAGAACCGCAACATTAGCATTACTTATGATTTCCCATTTCTACTTCCTTATCTCAACCAAGCCACATACCGAAGGCACGTGGCGAACCGCGGAAGAGCTTGGCGATTGTGTACTGTACAATACACACAGTACCTGAATACTTCTTCTGCCCCTATAGACAATACACGATACCATGCATACGCTGCATCATGCGTCTGGTATGCATGCATGACCTTGTGCTTGGATAGCGCCTGCTCCCCTGAGGGCTCCCACACCAGAAGCGGAGGGAGGACCAGGGGTTCGATCTCTATAGGACAGTACTGTACATGTGGTATTTCCTATTT